TCGGGTATTCCATTTGGTGGTTGTTGAAATGTGTAATTTGGTTAAATTAATTTTTAGTATTTTAAAATATTTTAATTAATTATGTCATGTGTACAAGAAAATTAGGACATTCAGGCGGATCGGGGAAGACATGTAGGAGTGTAAGTATTTCTAAATCTCAACTGGGTTTGAATTTTGAAAAGTGCATTCATTTTATCAAAATTATGAATTTTGAAATTTGAACGTACATTGGCCAATTTCAATGGAAAAACAGAACCGAAATTATGATCAGTAAACCTAAGCAATTGGAACCCTATGAGGAGACGAAACTAGAAAATAGACCCAATAGACTGAGAGTTATTTGGACTAATGAAATATGAAATTGAAAAGAAAAATTTCTAATTAAGGAAAAATTGAAAAAGAAAAAGAAATAAAATAAAAAGATAAAAATAGAAAGAAAAAGAAATAATTAAGGTTAAGAAATGATCATTTAAATAAATTAAGAATTTTGGAATAAAAGAGTAGGAGCGAATAGGGTAGGGACCCTGAATACCTTCTCGCTTAGTCTGAATCGAGGAGGGGAGTGAGTGTGTGTGTGTGGCTGAAATTCAGCTGGCATAGTGAACCTTCACATGGATAGAGTCTGAAACCTAATTCAGACGTGGATCGGCATTTGTGTGAGTGTGGGTCACCTAGCAACCGTATCTATTGTGGCCATTGTGTGATGTGTGATGTGTGATGTGTGTGTGTGTGTGCTATCCATGAGGTGGGGGAATCCATTTTGCCTTTCTTCGATAATGACATAAACGGCATTGCGCGATAAAACTATAGAAATAACCTTTCGAGTGTATATGTAATCTTTTGTATGTGTAATTATGTTTCGAGATGATAAATGACATTCAAGTGTATCTATAACTTTCGAGAGTATGGGAATATACATTTGAGATTTGTATATGATATTCAAGAGAATTCATAAGATCGACGAAGAACTTATGAAATAGTGAAAATAAGAACATGAATTTTGCACTGAAACATTTTTATTATTATTTTTCTTATTGTGTGTTTGCATGAAATTTTATTTGGGTTAAGAGAAGATGAATACTTATTGAGTTGGTAAAACTCATTAAATTTCACCCTGATATTTTTTAGAGGAGAATGAAGAGTCAGCACCGCTGTCAGGCAAGTAGAACCTGTAACAAGGATTCTTATTTTTTGTATATTTTGTGCATATTCGAAAAAATTTATTTTATTCTGTTATACTCTAAATTCTGATATCATGTTTTGTATATATAATTACTGTATATATCACATGAGATGTTAGGTTATACTATATTTTTTTTTTTACCTACGCATGTATATATTTTATGGGCTCACTGCATGAAATGGCATGAGCATGAATTGTGCCTTATATTGAGTATTGGGGTGTAACAATTTTCTTTTCTTTCTCCTGCAATTTTCATAAGAAAATTCTCAGTCCAATCTATCAATGGTAGCTGCGCAAGAAAGGAAGAGGAAAACGATGTCCGATCAGATAATAAATAATCATGGTGACAATAGTCTTATTAATCCAAATCAAAACTTAATGATTTCTTACAATATCCCTGGTGAAGTTGTAGAGACTATCTTCACTTTCTTACTAGTCAAACAAACAGCGAGATCAAGCCTCCTTGCATTGAAATTAAGAAATATTTGGAAGTACAATAAAAGCTTGATCTTTGATAAGGAATTCGCTCGAGGGTACAACTGTGGAGCACTTATCTCCATCATTGACCACATCTTTCGTCACCATGAAGGATTAAAAATCAAATCATTTCGTATTTTCCTAAATCCAAATGGACCCGTGATCCCAACCATTGAATCATGGATCAAACAAGCAATAGAAAAAGATGTTGAAGAGATTGAACTAAATTTTTCTAGTGTAGGCACCAGGCCAATCCTTTCTTCAGATTGAGTTAATTATGGAACAACTTTAACAAACCTGAAAATCGACAATTGTGAATTCAATCCGTACCTATCAGAGCTGAAAAATTGGTATCTCTTGAAGAATATTGTTCTAAAATATGTGGATGTGAGTATAGAATTCATTGGTATTTTATTCGATTATT